CAATTGGTATATAGAAATATTTTTAAAAATCTTGTTTATATTCCGATGCGCATTTCTTAATAAATTAATCTTTGTATACTTTAGTTGATAAAGGTGTAAATATCCCTACAAAATTATTTTCCAATCTAGGCCTAGTTAATAATTTTAGAAAATGGTCATTTATATATTTTAATCCTCTGACTTTTAATTTAGTTAATTTTATAAATACAGATTGCCCCCCATTAACACATTCTTTTGTTTTTTTGATTTGCCCATCTAGAAAAAAGTTGACTTATAATGCCAGCAATTATTTCATATTTGATATAGGTTTTGTTGGGAAATTAAATTAGCTTTAGCAGACATGAAAATTCTATTTAAGAAAAAAGGAAAACATTTTCAAATAAAAAAGGAAATATTGGTTTAGTTATCATTCGACATTTAGCCTCGCTTCTCCATTTTTAAATTAAATCAATAAATGGCCGAACTGTTCTAATCTACTTAAAAGCTGTCAAACTTTGCCTTCGTTGGGCTACACTACGTCGAGATTTTCATGACGTGTACTACTCTTATAATATAATATCAAGAACAACTGATGCCATATTTAAAACTACAAGAAAGCGGTAAAATAAAATATCGCTACTGGGCCTATAGTAAACAAACAGCGAGAACAGGCGACCGGAAGTGATCAACCACCTTTCTCGCCGTTTCACGCGTTTTGCAACATGACGTCGAGAATTCACAAGTCGGCAGTCATACGGTATTATCTATGAAATAATCAAATAACATACTATTTATGGCGAGAATAGATCGCTGCCCTAAATGGCCGCCATATCAAACATTTAATATACTGTTATGTAATGCATGTTTACTCCGTTTCACATCTGTCATACACACAAAGGTTAAATAAACTTTTTTCAATTTTATTAAATCGAAAACAAAATAAATTCTCCTCGGTATTCTAGAAGTATACTTGGTGTTTTCGACTAAAATCGTCGATTTAGGACTTAAGATGTCGGCCAACTAACTTAGTGTCTGTTCTTAAGTGTAGCTAACTGATAGACAGCCTAAGTTTAGTATGGGTTTCTTCCAGAAATATTGGGCTGTGTTGAACATGCTTGAGTGGTATTGTTGCCTATCGAAGCCACTGTATATGTTTGATACTGGTTGAACAATATGACCATGAAGTAATGAAGATTGCAATCCGTCAATACCGTTAAAAAATCCCTCATATGTGAGGAGGCGCTAAGGACCAAAACCGCTAAACCCATGACGCAAAGCGCGCCATTTCCTTCTCTCCACTGGTCAATGTACATTATGTCTATTTTGACGAGTTTAGTTTTAGTTATTTTGTAAACGAGATGAACCCCATTTACCCTGGGATGTTGATAGAACTCTGTGTTATATCTAGCCTTCTATCGATATCAGTGCTCCATCTTATCATAGAACGTGCCGCGTAACAGGCAATATATTCATTTATATAATTTAATACTTGTCATTTCATCATTTTGTTTCCATGAAAAACTAGCCTATCTAAAACTATTTCATAACATACCGCCCTGATTATCCGCCATTTATATACAGATAACAGCGTGGATTTATAGGGGGGTGGAGTAGAAATAGTACGATATTTAAACTGGCATCTAAATAATAAAATGGTTTAAGTTAGTGAAAAGTTCCTTAAATACGCCTTGTGCCAGATTTTGATAAAGGGGTGGCATTTCCCGATATAATAGTTAAAGAATAGATAATGAAAATGGAATATGTTGAAATGTTTTTAGTCAAATTACTTCGTTCTGTGCGAAGTTATGTCCGTTTGAAGAACAATGTAATCTCGATTGTCATTGCTACCGTTGTTACGATTATCCATTTTTAAATTAAATTATTAACTCGCAATCGTGTTTAAATCCATTGGAAATCTAAAACATCCGACAGTCTGAAGAGTTGGTTATGGGCTTGGCATGTGAATAGATGACTAATTAATGATTTATATAGGATTTGAGGCCAAACGAAAGATCTGCTTTAGGCAGATTTAGCTCTTACATAATGCATCCTTAATGAAATGAAGTGGGATTGAGCTTTCTATTTATCGGCACCAGCTGGGCTGATTAAGACGGACAGTTTGCGTGGACAGCTTTCAAATGGGTTTTGTACGTGCACGCCAACGTGTACACGGGGTCTCGGGTTTTCTTCCCATCCGAAGAACTAGCCATTCTAAGTTCTTGAAACATTTTGCACCACCTTCTGCATTATACTCTTATTGAAGTTCGATTCCCTCCATCAGATTTCGTGATCCTATACTAAACCTTTAGCACGGATTGTCGTAAAACACATAACATAGAGGTAATCTATTATTATATCTTCTAAGAAATATTATTGGGTTTGTGTTCATGCAGGCAACATCGGTACAAGCTTCTCCCTGAAGTCATTAAACTTATTATTGCTACGGAAATCAAATAACTTGTCTTAGTTACTGCACTCCCATGTTTAAATAATCCAACTATTCCCAATGTTATTTCATTCGAATGTTCTATCTAGTAGAACTATTGGAATTTCTAATAGATCAAAATATATATTAACAAATATTCTCTCAACAAACAACGTAACTTGTATGGTTATATTGAAATCGATGTGTTTTATGTTGAATGTATATATAGGCCAAGCATCCAGTAGTTCAACATGTATTTTTATTATAAGAGATGAATTGAAATGAAATGGGGTTTAACGTCCCTAATGTTCTGCTGCGACTGCCCTAATGAAGACGGTTTGTTATAAGAAATAATTTTTGTATAAGATGTAATAATATGGACCAAGGAGTCAGTAGTTCGACATAAACGTTTGTATATTTATGTCGAACTAGTGTGTCATTTGTCTACATTACATCTAATATAAAACACACGTCGAACTATTGGGTCCTCGGTCTATATACTAGTATTATATATCAAATACACTTCGAACTATGGTTCCTCGGTCTATATATTATATATCAAATACACGTCGAACTATTGGGTCCTCGGTCTATATATTACAAAAGTACAACTAAGTGAATTCATTTCTATCAAATAACATTAGGTGTGCTAGAAAGAGTAAGTACGCCAAGCTGCATACCACAAATATTACTTAACATAGTCAATCTGAGTGATAATGGAAGCGTGTGCAATGCGGACAAGGAACATGTTTCCCGGCCGTCAAACCGTGTGCATATTGACGTGCACATAAAAGTCGGAAACGGAGCTATCCGGTCATACTTCTCTTTGCATGTATGAGCATAATGTTAGTCTCAATATTACCGAAGAATATTGTGTTGACGAGACGTTAATTTCTACTCACATCCTATTCAAACTCAATCTGATTAAAACACAGATCCTATTTCGTTTCGTTATTTTATAGTTCAAAATTTCGTTCTACTTGTATCCGCAACGCTAGGATCTTCATGTAGTGTAGGCCATCGAAAGTATAAAAAAACGAAACGAAATATAGATCTGTATTTTAATCAGATTGATCCAAACTGTAAATATGAGACCACCTTTAAGTAATATGTTACGTATATTGACATTGTGATAATGATATTTGCTTTCAAAAAAAATAACAGATAAACAAACAGAATTTGAAAAATATAGGTATGTCTAGTTTAATGGGTGAGAGGCGTGGAGTCGGAAGTTGAACGGAATATAGCATGTTCAATTTCCACACGTTTCCTGTAAAATATAGTAAATAAACTCCCACTCGTAAACATGTTGTCAATATCATGATAACCAATTTACAAAATCATCTAAAAAAATGAAAAACATCTTTTGATAACGTAAATGAAATAATGAATGAATCGGTGTATATCATGGCGGGGGGAGTGAATGGAACAGCTGTTCAATGTATATACTAGGCTGTTCAATCAGCTGCCTTCAAGGTTAATTTCACCTTCATGAATGGGTAAAAGAAAACTGTGTCAGAACGCGCGTGTTTAAAATCAGAACATCACTTGGTGAAAGAGATAAGTCTAAACAGAAAGACAGCGTTGAAATTGTTGGTCGTATTTTTTCTGCTACAGATTTATGATTAAAAGAATAATATTTTGATTAAGATGGAAGCCGTGTGATAAATTCTGCGCTAAAGACTTGATAATTTGTTGACAGAAACATAGAAGACGGAAACTAGATACATGCTTAATGTTGTTATCTTTAGTAAATGAAGTAAAACACGAGTGAATGATTAATGAGAATGATACCGAATTTTTTTGATAAAAAATAAAAATACATCTCAATCGTTATCTGCGGTAAGATAAACATAAAAAAAGAAAATCCAGCCGTTCAGATGCGGGGAAAATCCTAGGGCCCGTGTACAAATTAGTAGTGTAATATACCGTTCAGAGGCTTATTTTTAAACTAGTTTAAAATCGCCGGTGTTTTTAAGACAGGGTCGTGTTGCGTTCACAGGTACAATAAGCGGGCTTTTGATAACACTGGTACTGCATTGCGCCGCCATTTTCCTAGGAATGTGACTTACTGTGTACTGCGCATGTCTAAAGCGAGCTGGAGCCGCGGGTTTTAAACCAACTCGTTTAGACGACCAAGATGAACCAGTTTAAACTAAAAAGCCTTCTCGAAGACAAGTCGCGAGCTGGGGTTTTTAAACTGGTTTATCTGCCCCGCATTTCCGTTCAGACGACAAAGTTAAACTGGTTTAATGATCCCCGGGTTTTTAAAACCAGTTCAACTTAAGCCTCTGAACCGGCTATATATGATCACTTTGGTGTTGCTGTTCTGGCAAAGTCACCTTCCTCGCATTACACGAGTAACAAAAGAAATAAAAATCATCGTATATTAGTCTCAAATTACCCAAATAAATTGTTGATGAAATGCTAAACCATCTTCCATTCACAACGACACTTTCTTGAGTGTCTCGTTAGTCACTATTTTTTTTCTTTTAGGGGGACGGTGGGAGGTTTTGTTGTAATGTCAAATTGAATTTTGCCCTTTTATATTCACTGATTAATCTATTTTTTTTAATCCTCTTGGTTTTTATTTCAGATTTCGTAAAAGAGGAGAGAAGATCCTACACAGTAAACATATTGTAATATTTGTGATATTTTTAACTATTTCTGATTGTGCACTGGTTATAGGGGAGCTTATATTGGATTTATACACAGTAAAAAGTAAGTTGACAATAATTATAAGGTTTATTGAATTTATACGTAATTAAAGAGTATGATGAAAATATTAAATAGTAAAAAGTAATAATTATAAGGTTTATTGGAGTTATACACAAACTGATAAATACAGCTCATTTGAACTTTTAGCATGTGAACTCTGAACAACCAATCACCCCACATTGCAACAGTTTAGTTTATCGTCCACCGCCTAATAATCGTAATATTGCCTAGTTTTGAGGAATTTTCTTTATTTACTGATCAATTGCTACTTAAATACAAGAAATGTGTCATAATTGGAGATTTTAACTTACACTTAGACAAAAGCGACAACTGGCTCGTAAAACAGTTTAATGATATCCTTGACATCAGATCACTATTATACCATGTAACAGGTCCAACCCATGATAAAGGTCACCTGTTAGATTTTCTAATAACAGTGGCATTTTATACGGAGTACCTCAGAGTTCCGTTCTTGGACCCATTCTATTCACATTATACACTTCTCCACTCGGTAAATTAGTTCGAGGCCATGGCTTAGAATAGCAGCTGTATGCAGAAGATGCTTCACAAATTATATTGCTTTTAACCCATCAATAACAAATGTCAAAAAAGACAAATTGGAAACTTGTATAATTGACATAAAAAATGGATGTCTGCTAATTTTTTTAAAATTAAAAAGTGATAAGACTGAATATATTCTTATTGGATCAAATAATAATCTAAGCAAAATATCTGATTGTAGATCTATACCTATATCTCAGTCTGTCATTTTACCTGTAACCTCCGCAAGAAATATTGGTGCTATTTTTAACAAAAACATGAAAATGATTAATAATGTATTTAAAAGCTTCTATTTTCATATCTAAATTAGGAAATACATTTCACAAGATGCAACTAAAACACTGGTTCATGCTTTTATAACTCTTAAGTTTGATCATTTTAATTCTCTTCTTGCTGGTTTTCCTGTAAAACAACTTCATAAACTCCCAAAAGTTCAAAATTATGCTGCCATAACTCTTCCAAATAAAATGTGGATCACAGTGGCTAAGTGGGTAGGGCGCTGGCTCGCTAGCCTGGAGGTCGGGTGTTCGATCCCTGCATTGGCCGAGAAAGTTCATTCAGATTTTCCGGCGTGGTTCTCCCTTGTCAGTGATGCAGGACGGAGGGCCTGACAAGGACAGCTGTCTAGTCGTTCGTATTGGACGAAAAACCGAGGTCCCGTGTACACATTGGCGTGCACGTAAAAGATCCCTTGACAGTTGGAATTAGATATAAGAGTAGGCCGTAGTGCCGCTGTCCGGACAAAATTTCCCTCATAGCACACTGTATGGCGTATGCCGGCTTCATTAGCCCAGTTCGGGGCAGAACAGTAGGACGTTAAACCCCATTTCACATGATCACACAACTCTAATTGTGGCGTCTTTACACTATTTTAAAATAGTTTTACTGATTCATAAATGTTTTAATGGCACTTGACCCTCTTATATAAAAATTTAATCACGGTATATTCGCCAACCAGATGTTTGAGATCACCCAGTGACCTCTTTCTTCTTACACCCATCTCTGTTAACCTTTTTTCCTTCCGAGAACGATCCTTCTCTTTCCAGGCACAGTAACTCTGGAATAGGTTGCCTCTCTCAATACTACTTACATTCTAAATTTCATGAAAATGGAAAATGGGTGTGGGGGGATTGGGTAGTTCAAAGTTTCAGAAAGATCCCATGGTTAGATTCTGAGATATAAGATCTATGTGAAGATAACAAAAAATAAAAAAAAATAATAATCTAAACAGAAACAATAAGCTTTCCTATGTAATATGAAAGTTTAATAATACACTATAAAAGTGAATTGACACTATTTTAACGTATATTGGATTTATACACATTCCCTTCTTGATAAAAATAAGCAACAGAAAAAATTCGTAAAACAGTCAACAATTTCAAAATAATACTATAAAATTATTGGATTTAGAGACGGAAAAAGGTTGACAATATTATAACATTATTGGGTTTAGAGACGGAAAAAAGTTGACGATATTATGACGTTTATAGGCTTTATACACAGTAAAAAATAAGTTGAAAATTTTATAACGTTTATTGGATTTATTCACAGTTATTTGACAATATTATAACATTATTGGATTTATTCAATTTAAAAAGCGGATAATATTGTAGCGTACGTGTATATTGGATTTGTACACAGTAAAAGTAAGTTCAGAATATTGTAACATACTGGATTTTTCACGGTTAGGAGTAAGTGGACAATATTATAGCGTATATTGGATTTATTCACGGTAATGAGTAAGTTAACTTAGCGTATATTGGATTTATACACAGTTGAAGTAAGTTGAAAATATTATAACATTCTTGGATTTATAAACAGTAAGATGTTGACAATAATATCACGTATATTGGATTTATACACCCTAAAAGTAATTTGACAATATCATAACTTTGACTTATTCACTTTATAAAGCTGACAATATTGTAGCGTATATAGATTGGAATTAATGTCTTAATAATAAATTATATAAGCTTTGAAGCTAGCAAAACGACCTGCGATAGGCAGATGTTGCTCTTAAATAATACATCTTTACATGAGTAAGGTGGAGCTTAATAATCAAATAAAAGTACATTTCCAATTTTCTTGATAACCCAGATATGCGTTCATTACGTCTTTATGATAGGAATCGATCAATTATATTTAACAAGGAATGCGCTATATATTAAACTGAATTATTTATTGTTAAAAAAAACCCTCATTATGATAGTTTCAGAGAGATACTTTGATAATTCCGATTTTCATGGCTTTCCAGATCCCTAACATTCTAATAAACAACATCAATTTTTCTTTATTAAGTAAGAAAGTTGTTGTTCTTAGTGTTTAACGTCCGCTTCCACCGAAGGTGATATCGCAGACAATATTATAGCGTATATTGGATATATACACAGTGTATATTGGATTTTTACACAGTTGTCTTATTTTCATTTTTATTACCCGAGCGCACGCGCAGGGGGTCTTTCCTGTGGGAGGAAACCGGAGTTCCCGGAGTAAACCCACGAGGTTAAGAAGGCGACCCTATCTCCAAGCCACATACGCTCATACCAGGGATCGAAATCACAACCGCAAGCCAAAGGTGACCGGCCAGCTAGAGGTCGATAATTCCAATAATGAGAACAAAATATAATCAATCACAGATCTTTACGCTAGAAAAATATATACCGGTATAAGAAAATCATCATATGCAGCCTAAAGGTTTCATTATTTTAAAATTGTTGACGATTTTAATGATTTTTTTCTGTTGCTTATTTTATCGTTACGCAAGAAAATAATATATAAGAAAATCTTCATATGCAGGAGCCTAAAGGTTTCATTATTTTGAAATTGTTGACTGTTTTAACAATGTTTTTCTGTTGCTTATTTTATAAAGAAGAGAGAGAGAGAGAGAGAGAGAGAGAAATGGGGTTTAACGTCCACTCGACACAAACTAGGTCATTTCGGGACTAACATATGGTTTAATTTTATTTCAATAATTCGCTTGCGCGTAGGGGTCTTTAGCAGTGGGAGGAAACCGGAGAACCCGGAGAAAACCCACGAGGTTGGACAGGCGACCCTACTCCTTGTCACGTACAACCGGGGTATAAAGAGAGAATGTTAATATCATTTTGTTGAACTCGCCTACGGCTTTGTCTGTTATATACTTATATTTATGCTGTAATTACTGCTGTGTAGATATCATTTACTTACATTGGCTTACAGTGAGTGGCGTTTTAATAATTGTCAAAGATATTGCTCGGGGGGAAGCGGATGTTAAACCTAATAATCAGTCAGGTTTTGATAAGTAAGTCCTACGATGCCACTTTGGGGTCACTAAATACAAACTATAAAATATACTCGCATCATTTGATAGATTTCTGGTAACTTACTTTGTCCTTGGTGTCTCCGTGTGTCATTCTGGGGTCGTCTTTAACGTTCGCTCCAAACAACTAGATCGCTTAACTATTAACGGTTGGTATATCTCCCTTTTCCCACACCAAATATACACAAGGTTTTCAGTAAAAGGCCGAACATAGAATCCCTTGGTGTCTCTGTGTGTCAAACTGGGGTCTTTATTAACGTCCGCTCCAAACAACTAGATCGCTTCATTATTAACGGGTGGTATATCACCCTTTCCCCACACCAAATATACATAAGGTTTTTAGTAAAAGGTCGAAAATAGAGTCCCCGGAGAAATCAAGGTGGTTAGAATGGGGTGGAACTCACAACTTACATTATAGGTTTTTTTTTTATAGAAATGTGGTCCACGGGAAACGTTTAGGTCACCGAACTCATGCTAACTCGGACGAATGTATAACGGTATATAGCTTTAAATTTCGGCTCGTTGATGTTTCATAATACATATGGCACCCAATCAAATAAATGTGGTCCACGGGAAACGTTTAGGTCACCGAACTCATGCTAACTCAGACGAATGTATAACGGTATATAGCTTTAAATTTCGGCTCGTTGATGTTTCATAATATATATGGCACCCAATCAAATAAACTGAAATTTGAACAATACAAAATAAACGAAACGAAATATGATCTGTGTAATAATACAACCAGAGTAAATATTTACTGGCGAATCGATGGGTTGTTTAGCTGATGCGAACTCCAACTCTTTATCAGAACTCCTGATGGTCTCGTGCTTTCTCTTCCTTCACTCATGTTAAATTAAATTATCCCATAAAACAATGCAACAGCATAAACTATCAACTGCTAAAGAAACGCAGATTTTTTTACTGCATGGTTTTCTGTGAAATCATCAGAATTAACCAGAATTCTTGAAACGGTTCTATTGCTCAGTCTGATAACGATATTTGATTTCGGCATCTGAAATATGGCATAGCGGGTGTAGTGCACGATTCAATGTATGCTTATTCTGTTTTTTCTAGAATACCTCATTCATAAGAAGCTAACAACTAAGTGCTTGTGTATCTCTTATTTAATTGCGCTTCTTTT